TTAAAGAGTCAGGTGTTCATCTCAGGCTTGTCCTGTGTGGATAAGTGTGTTCTCTCTGTCCTCTTAAGGGTCTTTCTCTCTCTTTGGTGCCATTAGAAGCCTAATCGGTGTGGTGTGTTACATGTGGGGCTGTTAACTGCAAGGTCAGTAGTTTGAACCCACTTTAGTAAACTTCCAATGTTGGGGTCTAAAGGGTCTTGAGTGTTTGTTACTACAAATGAAGTGCATTAGATATCAATAAAGTTGAACAAGGATTGAATGAGTCAATCAGTATAAAGCCCATCACAGAGTACTTGGCAACAGGCATGCTTTCTATAAATGTTAGTGATATTCTTTGCTGTTCGCTGGCTTTTGTTCAATTTAAATAAATACTACCAAATTGCCCTGTGTAAAGGCTGAACTAATTACATTCGCAACAGCAGGATTAAAGTGCTTGCCAATTCCTTAATTTTTTTTCCCTTTCATATTTCTTCTTCTGTGAATGGCCTGTTCTTGTTTTTTGAGTTTCCTTGTTAGCTTCTTCTTGCTTTTTGAATGTTGATTTCCGTATGGAGGATATCAATCCTTTTATTTTATGAATAACAAGTATATCTTTTCCTTTAAAAAAAACTTAACCCAAGACTCACCTCCAGTTCCTAGGACCTTCAGGAGCTCAAAATTTTCAATCCCCACCTTCTCTGCATGTCCTGTTAAATTAGCTAAAAGAGACAGAGAACAATGAATTAATTAGGGAGCCAGCAACAGAGAAGGACACACAGCATCTTCTGAGGTACCTGCCGTGTGGTAGATTGTAACTTGCGGTGTCTTTTATCTACTTATTAAACTGTATAGCTGTGGTTTATACAACTTTTGCTAAGCTTCACATTACATGAAAACTGTAAAAAACAATTCAGCAAATAAATCTCATCCAAACCATTATCCAATTGCCAGAGTCAATTCTGCCTCATAGTGACCCAAGGGGGGAGAGTAGAATTGCCCCGGTGGGTTTCTAAGACTGCAACTCTTGGCAGGAGTAGGTTAAGTACATGTAAAAATAAAGTGTTAACAGACTCTGTACTGAGCAATATAATCTGCAAAGAACCCCCAATTCTAATATGTAGATATGCAGTGGAAAGAAAACCGGGCAGATTTGTTCAACAAATATTTACTGTCTATAAGTTCCCCAGTCAGATTCTAGGCTGCATTCTAATCTCATTTCTCCAGTAAGTACCTGAGCAGCTCTTAACTGCAGTTCTTAATTTCCCTGCTCAGTGTCTGTTCCCTTAACTCTCACTCTCCTCCGGTCTCAATCATCTGTAAGGAACCTTCTAATTCTACAATTCTAGGGCTACATTTACAAATAAAAACTCTTCAAAAACACAAGCTCCTCTAAATAAATAAAATGGAGGTATCTCATGCAAGAACATTTTCCAAAGTATATTTCACCAAACCCTGACGCTCTCTTGTTGACAGTGCTGCATTTGGGGGAGTGGGCAGTAGCTCCAGCAGCTCCCTGGCCCCGGAGTGGTCCCTGCCTGAAGTAGCAGGGTGGCACCCCGCCTCCTACTGACCCCGAGGCAGAAAAGACACCAGATCCCGGAGCTGGTGAGAGGCAGACTGGATCCACCTCTTCTTCTCCAATTGGAATTCCTGAACTCAATTAAAACCTTAAGGGGTCACGGACATAAGCATGCTCAGATATTGCCCAAATGGGCGTGAAGTGATGCACCCGTGTTCACATGTTTTAATTCACTTTAAGGGTAAAATCAATCTCAGGTGACTGTAGACATTGTATTTGTGAGTCACTTAGAGAACCAACCCCCAACTAAACCTGCTGCCATCAGGTGAATTCAGACTCATGGCAACCACAACTGCACACCAGCAGGTTGTCAAGGCTCTGACCTGTGCGAAAGATCACCAGCACTTTCTTCCCAGGTGCCTCTGGGTGGGTTTAACCTGCCCACCTTCTGGTTAGTCATCAAATGCTTAATAGTTAGCACCACCCAAGGGCACTCCAGGGACATTCCTTCCAAATACAAAACAAAACTCACTGCCATCAATTGAGTCAATGTCAACTCACAGCGACCCTACAGGACAGGTGGAATGCCTCCGTGAGTTTCCAAACTGTAATGCTTTACAGGAGTAGAAAGCCCAGTCTTTCTCCCACAGAGCGCCTGATGGTTTTGAACTGCTGATTTTGCTGTTAGCAACCCAACTGGAACTGCCATGCCACCAGGGCTCCTCAGAGAGTCTGGCATTTGGCCAGGTGTGAGCACTGCCCCAAATAGTGCTAACTGGTGTTTATATGTGGTCTTTCCCAAGGTTAGTGTTGGTGTTAGTAACACCATGCTGGTGTTACTGAGACCAAGTAATTT